GGGTAGGTTAACCTCTAGGTTAGTCCCTGTGGGTGATGGGCTGGCCCAGCCCTGGGCGCCCCCAGCCCTGAGGGACAGGTCTCTGCTGACAGGCAGCGCTGTGCGTTTCTCGGAGGCCACGTTTGCCTGGGAGCAGGACGGCAACGCTGCGATCAGAGAGTAAGTGCTCTGCACCGTGTTGGGAGCAGGTGGAGTCCTTCTACGTTATTTGGGGATGGCAGTCACCTCTCACAGTGCCCCAGAGACACTGCTCCCTGCCAGTCTCATGCAGGAGCCGGCAGGTGGCCTGGTGGCACTGCTCCCTCAGGCCTCGTGTCTTTGCAGTGTCACCCTGGACATCGCGCCTGGCAGCCTGGTGGCCGTGGTGGGAGCTGTGGGCTCAGGCAAATCTTCGCTGGTGTCAGCCATGCTTGGGGAAATGGAGACTATCAAGGGACACATCAACATCCAGGTGAGAGGAGCCGGCTGGTATGGGGGGCTGTGGGGCTCAGTGGGGAGGCAGCAGGGCAGGACTGGTCCCGGGGCGGTGGCTGAGGGCAAGGACAGGCTGCAGAAGATGGCAGTGTTCCTGTGTCTCTCTTTGCAGGGCTCCCTGGCCTATGTCCCCCAGCAGGCCTGGATCCAGAACGCCACACTGAAAGACAACATCCTTTTTGGGTCAGAACTGGACGAAGCCAGGTATCAGCAAGTCATCAAGGCCTGTGCTCTCCTTCCAGACCTGGAACTGTTGCCTGCAGGAGACCAGACAGAGATTGGAGAGAAGGTTTGGCCCTGGGCACTATGGGTTTCCCATGGCACCTGCAGCAGAGGGCAGAGCTGTTGCTCCAAGCCAGCCCAGTGCTCAGAGAGGTCCCTTCCCTTCCAGGGCATTAACCTGAGTGGGGGCCAGAAGCAGCGAGTCAGCCTGGCCCGGGCGGTGTACAGCAACGCAGACATCTATGTCCTGGACGACCCTCTGTCTGCCGTGGATGCTCACGTCGGCAAGTACCTCTTCGACCATGTGCTGGGGCCAAAAGGGCTGCTGCAAAAGAAGGTGAGCACCCGTGCCCTCCTCCCCACCACCTAGGCAGGCAGGAGAGGCACTGGCATGGTGCTGGCCATCCAGGGAAGGCTGAAGTTGCTTGCTTGCGACAGAGAGGGGTTCCGTGGCTTTCACGTGGGGCTGCAGCAGGCAGGAGAGGCCACACAGGTCCCCAGAGGGGTGCTCTGTGTCCCCATAGCCAGGCAGTGATAAGCTGAGAGGTCCCTAAGTAGGGGATGGAGAGCCTGCAGGCCCATGGCTGGGGGGTGAGGGGTGTTCTGATGCTCACTACCCTGCAACCACTTTGTTGCAGACACGGATCTTGGTGACGCACAGTATCAGTTTCCTGCCCCAGGTCGATAACATCGTGGTGCTGGTGGCAGGAGCGGTGTCTGAGCATGGCTCCTACAGCACCCTGCTTGCAAACAGGGGGGCCTTTGCCCAGTTCCTGAACTTGTACGGCAGCCAAGAGGAGGATGCTTCAGAGAAAAATTCCACAGGTACTGGGAACACAATGGGGCTGCGGCAGTTAGAGGGGGCCACCCATGTGCCTTGGGGATATGAAAACCCCAAGACCTGATCCGTCAGTCTGACCTGGCTCTATCCAGCCCAGGTCCTAGTGGTGGCTGCTGTGAATCCATCCCAGCTTCTGGCAATCAGCAGCACAAAGACTTTCTGCCTAGGATTTGCATATGAGCACTGTGTTGAACAGCCAGTGAAAGACCTGCCTGATTTCTTTACTATTTAGTTTATTTATATTTATGGCTCTCATAATCTTATGTGGCAACAGGCTCCATACTTTAGTGATTCTGAAGTGAGAAAGATCTTTTGGTTTATTCTAAACATGCTGTTAGATAATGTTTCATCTTTACCATGTCCCTCAGTGCTATGGGGAGGAGTGGTGTCAGGTCAGGTGGATGCTCACCGTGCCTGGGCTCTGCCCAGTTGTCCAGTTGAAGCTTGGCTGTTCCCAGTCCATCCCTACAGGATCCATCTCCACCTGCTCAGAGAGGTGCTCTTGAACTGGAGTGACATGACTTACCAGACCTTGCACCTCCTAAACTAGCACAAATCTCTGCACGAGGTCCCACCAGTGGTACTGGGATAAGTCAGCAGCAGGGACTGCCTCTGTGCTGGCCTTTAGCCCTATGTCCCCTGTCAGTTCTCCCTCCAGCGCAACAGATTCCTTCCTCCTCCTGCTGTACTGTGCTTGCAGCAGGGTTGGAAGAGGCTTTGAGGTGTGGCGGTAGGACACAGACTGGGACTGGGGTGTGGGGTGGAGCTGAGTGCAGCAGAGGTGTGGTGCATGGGATCTGCTCTCTCCTCAGTGCCTGACTCTACCTTCCCTCATCCCTGTGCTTGTAGCTGCTGCTTTAGCTGGGGATGAAGAGCAGGGTGATGAAGACGTTGAGCCTTGTGTGGAGGAGGGCCCTGATGATGTGGTGACCATGACCCTGAAACGAGAGGCCAGCATCCATCGGAGAGATTTCAGTCGCAGGTGGGAACTCAACCTGAGCTCTCAGATCTCTCCCCTGGCCCCTGCATTGCTTTCTAGGAGATGGGATCTAGGGGCTTCCCTGGGGGCGATTCCTGTGGAGAAGGGGCTGGGAGTCTCCCTGCCAGCTGGGCTGGGTCAGGAGCATCTGATCTTGCCTTGGCTCACATTAGTGTGTCACAGCCTTACTTCGTGATCTTCCTTGAAACTCCTGACCTGAGCTCTCAGATCTCTCCCCTGGCCCCTGCATTGCTTTCTAGGAGATGGGATCTAGGGGCTTCCCTGGGGGCGATTCCTGTGGAGAAGGGGCTGGGAGTCTCCCTGCCAGCTGGGCTGGGTCAGGAGCATCTGATCTTGCCTTGGCTCACATTAGTGTGTCACAGCCTTACTTCGTGATCTTCCTTGAAACTTCTGCTACTGGCTGGTTCTGCTTTGGAGGGTGAGGGTTGTGATTTCGTGGCTGCAAATGCCTAGGGCTTCCACAAGGCTCATTCAAAGCGGTCCCAGTTAGGACATTATTTCCCAGAGGGCTCCAGTACTGGAGTCCCGGTGCAGCATGGGGGTGGACCCCCAGGAGAGTAGAACCCATCCAGGACCCTGTGACTAACAGTGCCTCTCTGCAGCCTTAGTAAAAGCAGCACCAATTCCTGGCAGAAGGCCCAGGAGGAGCCCCCCAAGAAGCTGAAGGGCCAGCAACTGATCGAGAAAGAAACTGTGGAAACTGGCAAGGTGAGGAGGATGGATGGAGGAAGCATCGTGCTGCCCTGGCTCAGTGCTATAAGATTCTGACTGTGGCTCAGAGAAGCTGGTGCTGTCTGTCTGTGGCACCCGTTGCAGCCAAGAGACACTGAAGGAGACAGAGCTGCCTGGGGCTGGTGGGCAAGATGGTGGAGGGGAGCACTGTGGGCAGCAAGGCGGGAGTCCCAGGGCTGTGCTGGGTGTCACTGGCCACGGTTTGCTGGGCAGTGGTGATGGGCTGAATTGGTCCACAGGTGAAGTTCTCCATGTACCTGCGGTACCTGCGTGCTGTTGGCTTGTGGTATTCTTTCTGGGTTGCCATGGGCTACGTTGGACAGTACGTTGCCTTTGTGGGGACCAACCTGTGGCTCAGCGTCTGGACTGAAGATGCGCAGCGCTACCTGAACCAGACCTATCCTGTGGAGCAGCGAGACCTGCGGATCGGTGTCTTTGGGGCACTGGGGGTGTCACAAGGTGAGCGTGGGAGCACAGGGGATCCTGCTTGCTTCAGCTGTGTGGTGCAGAAGGGATGTGGCTTGCAAGGCTTGCAGCCAGCAGAGCAGCAAGGAGCAGGGGACCCAGCACTGTGTTCATTTGCCTGCTGATGCCTTCCTTCTGGCTCTGGGCTGAACTGGGGACAGCTGTCAGTGTGAAGCCAGCAAAAGTTGCCTCAAGAAGTCTGTGTTGCCCCCTTAGGTTGAAGATCACTGTCCTTAATCAGTTTGGAGGTAGCACTAGGGCCCAAGGCTTTCCAAAAGGGTTAGTGTTCCCCTATGGTGGGATGCAGTTTCTGGGGCCCCCCAAGAAGGTGGAATGCAGGACTATTGCAGTGGGTCTCTGCAGAGCTGCTGGCTTGGAGCTGACTGATGTGTCCCTTGAGCCAAAGGGACCAGTGTCACATGTGAGCTGGTGATGACGGCTCTGTGCTCTCCTTGCAGCTCTCTTCCTGCTCTTTGCAACCATGCTGTCTGCTCATGGTACCATGCGAGCCTCCCGGGTTATGCATCAGCAATTGCTCAGCAACATCCTGCGTGTGCCCATGAGCTTTTTTGACACGACCCCGACTGGCCGCATTGTGAATAGGTTTGCCAAGGTAAGAGAACAGCCCCAACATGGAGAAGGTGTTTGCTCCAGCAGGTCTGAAGGGCATTGGGTGGTGGCATAACACTGTTGCTGTTCAGCACCGTGCAGATGGGCCCAGAGCAAGGCCTGGAAGGGACCAGAAGGGCATGGTGGATGTGAGGCTGACTGTGAGGCAAATCACATCCTGGGCTATCCTAGGAGGAGAGTGGCCAGCAGATCACAGGAAGTTATTGTCTCCTCTGCTCAGTGCTAGGGAGGCCACACCAGGATACTGTGTCCTGTTTTGGGGCCACGTGGTCAAGAGGGATGTGGAGAAATGGAAGAGGGTCCAGAGTAGATTACCAAGAGAGGTAGGAGCCTAGAGCTCATGTCCCGTAATGAGTTGTCTTTCTGGCTGTGGAATCTCAGCAAAATACACAGTCTTTGCTATGTAAATGAAGCTCAAAAAACAAAGAGAAAATGAGAAAAGAGGGAGAATGCAGAGAGGTAGTTTCAAGTGTGCTGCCACTCCACTTCTTCCTTTAATACCATCTCTTGATTTTTGGGAATAAAAATCTCTCTTGAGATCAAGCCTGAGGGCCTGATGCATTTACTCTGAGATGAGGGAGTATGTGGTGCTCAGCTAGGAGAGGGATGATGGCCAGCTGGAGACCTGGGTGCACCAGCATGGACCTGGAGTCAGTCCCGTCCCTCTTTCTGCCTCAATTCCTGCTCCTGCATCCTGGGCCCAGACGAAGATGCAGTTCCCAAAGCTGGTCTGTGCAACAGGGAAATATTATAGAAAGCTTCTCTGTTAAATAAGCTGCTCCCAAGCTAAAAGCTGTGGCCCTAAATGGGGTTGTGATCCTAACACCAATTCAGCGTCATCCAATATTTTTGCAGGTGTCTGGCACTGTGTTACCACACGGGTGTGTAGGAACCCTGTATGCATGGGGCCTTTGGGTTTCTCCCTCTCCCTGGGGTCACTGACTGCTTCTCCACTGCTTTTTTGTATGTTCCAGGACATCTTCACAATAGATGAGACCATTCCCATGTCCTTCCGCAGCTGGCTCTCCTGTTTCATGGCCATCATCAGCACATTGCTCATGATCTCCCTGGCCACCCCATTCTTTGCTCTCGTTATCATTCCCCTGGGTATCCTCTACTATTTTGTGCTGGTGAGTAACCAGGGCTTCTGCCCTGCATAGAGCAGTATCTTTCTCACTGCCAGGCTTTGTGTTGGTAACCAAGCTGTGCCCCTCATTTCAGCGCTTCTATGTCTCCACGTCACGCCAGCTACGGCGTCTGGACTCTGTAACTAGGTCTCCCATCTACTCCCACTTTGGTGAGACGGTGTCAGGCCTTTCCGTGATCCGGGCCTATGGACACCAAGAACGGTTCCTGAAGCAGAATGAGCGCACCATGGACATCAATCAGAAAAGTGTTTACTCCTGGATAGTCTCAAATAGGTGAGTTTTACTCCTTATGCCACAGCACAGCCTGCAGCACCTCTGCCCAGGGGCTTCTGGGTCCTGAGGAAGGTCCCTGAGATGCTGCAGTTACTACCTCTTGATCTCAGGACTGAGGGTCTGTGTCGGAACTGGGGGAGCTGGGGATAGGGATGCCGTCTATGGGAAGGAGACATTTTAGGGTGATTTTGAAAGCCAGAGTGCGGCCCCCTAGAAGTGTCCAGAGCCTGGGCAGGGTGAGCCGCGCTGTCAAGGGCTGAGATGCTCTTAGTGGGTTCTGGGAAGAGGCTGATTCTCCCGGCCAGGTGGGAGTGCGATGGGGCCAGTATCTGGTGTTGACGTGTTACTGGGTAGATACTTTGGGTGTGTGAGGGTTGTACAGTCGGGGCGCCTCAGATACATGGCGTTAGCAGCACAGGAGGTTATGTGTGAGACACAGGGGCTGACAGATAAAATGACCCTGCTTGCAGAATTGGCCACAAGTCACATGTGGTGTAGGCGCAGGTACCACGTGTACAGCGCTGGGCTCAGGGCTGGGAGCACAGGGGTGCTGGTGGCGTGCTCCTATCACTGGTGGGCCCCGTGCTGGGCGCAGGCGGGTGCCTCTCCCACAGCCCCTCGCCGTGCTCTCCCGGTGCAGGTGGCTGGCCATCCGCCTGGAGTTCGTTGGGAGCCTGGTGGTCTTCTTCTCTGCACTTCTAGCTGTGATTTCAAAGGGCACTTTGGAGGGCGGCATCGTGGGTCTTTCTGTCTCCTCTGCCCTAAACGTGAGTCAGTGAAAGCTTTTTCTTATTCCAGGGCAGGGTTCTTTCTAGGAGCAACATCCTGCTGGCTCTGGGCTGGCCGCAGGATGCTGCCTGGCGTCCAGCTCTGATCCATGGAGAGGGGATTAGCTGGGGCATCCCATCACCTGGGGAGCTGGTATGGAGCCAGGGGAGCACACATGCCAGTGCGACGGGGATGCTTGCTGCCATGGAGAGGAGCACGTTCCTGCTGTGGAACAGCAATGATGCAGCAAAGCTTTTGAAGGGCAGGGGAGATGGGGCCATGGCTGGGGAGATGGGGCCGTGGCTGGGGAGTGGAGGGTTAGGGGCAGCGGTGCTTGTGCCCAGGCTGAGTCCCTGAGCTGAGGTGGGAAGCGGTTGTTCCTGTGTCCCACCGAGCTCTGCATCCTCTGGCTCTGCCATGCAGGTGACCCAGACACTGAACTGGCTGGTGCGGACATCTTCAGAGCTGGAGACGAACATTGTGGCTGTGGAGCGGGTACACGAGTACACAAAGGTGAAAAACGAGGTGAGGAGCCCAGGGTCCAGGCAAACACATGCTGCACAGTTTGGTTCTAGCCAGCATCACAGGGTGCAGCCCCCTAACGCCCCTGTTCCCCCAGGCTCCGTGGGTGACAGAAAAGCGTCCACCCCGTGGCTGGCCCAGCAAAGGCGAGATCCAGTTCATTGACTACAAAGTTCGTTACCGACCTGAACTGGAGCTGGTTCTTCAGGGGATCACCTGCAATATTGGGAGCACTGAGAAGGTGAGGACCTCTGCATCTGTCCTCACTGCACCCTTTCCGTAGTGACACGGTGTTAAAGTTTTTTCTGTCGTCTTAGCCTTTGGTCTGTGGGCTGGGGAGGGATGGTGAGGGGGCATGTCTCCTGGGGACTCAAGCTGTGGGGCAGGGACCCAAGGAGACAGTCTGGGAGATGGTGATTGCAGGTGCAGGGCAGGAAGGCCCACCAGAGCAAGGAAGAGAGCATCTGCCCTGTTTCCTTCAACCCTGTCAGCTGGTCTAAGTAGCTGCTTCCACAGGTTGGGGTTGTGGGCCGGACTGGGGCTGGAAAATCCTCCCTCACCAACTGCCTCTTCCGGGTGCTGGAGGCTGCTGGAGGGACGATCATCATCGACGAGGTGGATATAGCGATGATTGGCCTCCACGACCTGCGCCAGAACCTCACCATCATCCCCCAGGTGAGCTGACCCCACCTTCCCGTGTCCCACTGCTGCGCATCCTCCCCAGGCTCTGTCCCCCTGTTGCCCTTAGCGCACCCCCGGGTGCTGTGGAGGGTCCAAGGGCCTGGGAGCATGTCGTGGCCACCTCTCCCACCCAGCTGCAGGCAGCAGGGTGGGCAGGCTGTGGCCAAACTAGAGCAGCTACATTCAGCCCTGCTGAGCGGCCGTGGCATGGCTGAACAGGGTGCTGTCCCTGGCAGGACCCCGTGCTCTTTACTGGCACCCTGCGGATGAACCTGGACCCCTTTGACCAGTACACAGACAAGGAGGTCTGGAAGGCCCTGGAGCTGGCCCACCTGAAGCCATACGTGCAAGACCTTCCCGAGGGGCTGCTGCATCTTGTGAGCGAGGGAGGGGAGAACCTGAGGTGAGTGGAGCGTGCCCAGCTCCCCTCCCTTCCCCCTGGTCCCAGGGGAATGGCAACTTCCAGCAGAGCAGCTGTCCAGTGATCTGGGACATCTGGGAGTGAAGGTGGGAGAAAACGGCCTGGGAGTTGGGGCTGTCAGGGAGCCAGCGTGAGCCTAGCCTTCCATGGTGGCCCAGAGGGCAAGATGCTGAGGGACGTGGTGCTCAGGGTGGCAGACGATCAGCTGGGGCAAGGCCAGGGAGGGCTGGGCAGGCACCATATTGGGGTCAGAGCTGTGTGTGGCAGTAGGCGTCCAGAAGCCACGCTGGTAACTCACATTCCCCACGTTATCCCAGTGCTGGGCAGCGGCAGCTCGTGTGTCTGGCCCGGGCCCTTCTCCGCAAAGCCAAGATCCTCATCCTTGATGAAGCAACAGCAGCTGTAGATCTGGAAACTGATCATTTAATCCAGACAACCATCCAGAGTGAGTTTGCTGCCTGCACTGTCCTTACCATTGCCCACCGCCTCCACACCATCATGGACAGCAACAGGTATGGTGGGGCAAGGGGAACGGGGCTCTGAACTCTGAGGATGGGGCAAGAGGTAGCCAGCAGCAGAAGCAAGGATGCAGCCAGAGGGGCAGGGGTGGATGCAGTGCCCAGGACAGCAATATACACAGCTTCTAGGAGAGTGGAACAGAGGGATGGGAAGGACGGCCATGCAGTAGTTATGCCTTGTGGGGAGAAACATTTCTGGGGATCCTTCTTCATGGCAACAGGCCACAGAGGAGTTGTTGACGCCTTACGTGTATCACCCTGCCAGCACAGGGAGGAGAGCTGTGCCCTCACCTCTGCGCTGAGAGGTGAACCACGCAGTGCGGCTGTAGGAGGAGCGAGGGTCGGTGAGGCTGTAGTGCTGGCACCAGCAGCGCTACCGGCTCAGATCCCAGGAGCTCAGGCCTTCTCATTCCCTGCTGCCAGGGTGATGGTGCTGCAGGCCGGGAGGATTGTGGAATACGACAGCCCTGAGAACCTGCTCAAGAAGCAGGGCGTCTTCTCTGCGATGGCAAAGGACGCCGGCATCATGAATATAGAAACCACGGCGCTGTAGGTGGAGCGGAGCAGCGTGCGGGTGTGTGCGTGGGCAGCTCTCTCCCGCTGGCACTCACCCTGCAGTGGGGCTGCCCAGGAATGTGTCTCTCTGCAGCTGGGAAGCAGAGAGGGTGGCTTCTCTGGTTGCTGGGGAGAGAGGATCTGGACAGGAGTGAGCTGTTTAACCTTGCTACCACACCCTGCCTGCTGTGCACAGGAGGGTCTGGAGCTGCGTAATTCATTCCAGTATAGAGGGGAAAATTTCTCTGTCAGGCAGGGAGACCATGGCCCCCTGGGGGTCTTAGTTTTTGTACTTCACCATGCCAAGGAAGCCTAGCCAAGAGACGCTGTAGCACAATGGAATGAAATTTAGTTTACTCTAAGACTGAATGTTATAATTTATTTACTTTTTGTAACTGTTTCTAGTCTTCCAACTAAAAGTTTGACTTTAAGGCATGCTAAATAAGCCTCAGTTTACCTTGAAACCTGGCTGGTGTTTGGGGGAAGCTGGTAACACAGGTTATGCAGACACACGCGGGTGGGGACTCGGCACAGCTATCCCCAGGCATGAACACCACTCTCTGGCAGGGGAGGTGCAGAAGCCAGGGCCTGCCTTCCCTCCCTGTGGCTACAGCCCCCTTTGACTGCAGTGCAAATAAACCAGGCAGTGCCTGGGGCTATCTAACCACTAGTGGGGCAGATTTTGGACCGTGCCTCCATACTACAAACCTGACTGTGGTGGACACAAGCTGGTGAGGCGCAGGCACGTGTGCATGCTACCCTGACATTCACACATTAACACATGCAAAGCAAGGGTGGTTACTGGTGATAAACTCTTGACCCTTCTGAGTTCTTGGGCATGAAAGCCAGGAGCTGAGGAGCTGTACCACTGACAGCGGCTGCTGGCGCGCCCATGCGCACGCTGCTGCTGCCGACCCACGGACAGCAGGGCAAACCTCTTCACCCCGGCTGCTGGCAGGAGGGACACAGCCACCGCAGCCCCAGCTGAGTCATGTAATACACGTAGGGGGGAGAGGGCAGTGCAATCACATCATCTTAATGAAGAACGTTCCTGTGAGCATTTCCTAGTGCCTGAGCTGCAGCTGACACAAAGACCAAGGCAGAAGCATGCTGGGCCCCAACCAAAAGGTAAATGTTCTTCCTGGCCCTGCAGGGTCTGCATGAAGTCTATGGGGCTTTGCCCCCCAGCCCAGCACTGGCCAGGCACTCCTTCCGGCTCTCCCAACACTTGCACAGGCATCTCCTATACACAAGGGCAAATCTTTATTTACAGAGCAGCAGTACAGGGGATACAAACATTGCCCCAGGAGAAGGGAGCTTCCCTCCTTCAGGGCACGGCAGCAGCAGGTAAGGCACACCACCCTGGCAAGGGGCACCATGTCCCTCCCAGGGAGGACCTTGCCCTCCCAGCACATCAGCACCATCTCCAGTGCCCTGCAGGAACTCGTGGGTGAGACAGTCCTGGTCAGAGCCCCTCCTTCCCCCCAAAATCCATCTGGAGGAACAGCCTGTGCTTTGCCTTCTGCCCTGCCCCAGCCCAGAGCAGCCAGGTGGGCATGTCAGCACAAAGATGGGCCTTGGGCACTGGAGATACTGCACTGACAAGGGAAGATGGCATTCTGGGCCTCCAGCTCACCTGGAAGATGAGCACCCAATGGCTGCTGCTAGCATCAGAGCTTGGAGAGGCCTGAGCCCCTGGGAGACCAAGCACAGGGATGAAGTACCTGCTGAGGGCTTTGCTGTGGGGGCTTTCAGAGGCTGGGCCCATCCCAGCCCTGGAGCTCAACTACTCCCAGCAAACCCCAGAGCCCCTTCTCCAGGCAGTGTGTAGATGTCTCATGCTGAGGTCCTGCACAGACAGGTGAGACCAGGCTCCTCCTGCTGCTGAGAAGGCACAGGGAGCACGTTCACAGGGCCCAAGTTCCTTTCAACACTACTTGGCTCAAGACAGACTCCAGAAATTCAGCATTAGCCTTCCACAATTTAAACCCACAGCAGCTCCTCAGCCTTGGTCAAGCCTTACCCTCCTGGGCCATGGCCTCAAGCGTTGCTCCCCTGCTCTTGGCTGGACACAGGAGGCTCAAACAACGCAGGTGAACTCGCCCTCCCCTCACACAAGCTGTGTGTTCCTGTCTGTCCTGCCAGCCCACCCGTCCTCCTCTGCCCGCTGCCTCACGTGTACTCTGTCTTCCGGATGTAGCTGGAGGGCACGTAGCCCTGCTTCCCGTGCGCCTCGGCCAGCCACCACTCCCGATTGCCTGTGATGTCCTCAAACTGCAGGATCCTGAGTCTCTGGTTAGCTGACACGCTCAGCTCGTTGGTGTTTCGGCCTTTGAAGGTGTAGAGAGCGTAATAGATCTGCCAGACAGAGGGAGAGCATCAGCTGGATGGCTGTGCCACACAGCCGTGCTGTCGCACTGCATAGGCTTTTGCTCCTCTCCTGGAATAGTGACAGCCCCATCCCCATCCTGGCCCCTGCCAGAGCTGCCCTCACCTGCCCACCCCCATCTCCACCCTAGTTCTCTGTCTCTGCCCCCCTGCCACTGGGAGAAAAGGTCTCATCCTCACCCCTTTGGGACAAAAGCAGCCTCCACCTCCCACCTCTCCCTGGTCACTGCCGGGGAGGAGAATGATTCAGGCCCCACTCAAGTGAGGGGGTCAGCTCTGTGCATCCCCAGCCCCCCTCCAGGCAGGCTGAAGGCTCACCTGGTTGCCCTCTGACTCGCTGCTCTCCAGCCCAGAGTCTCTGTCTTCCACTGAGGGTGCAGGCCTGAGATGCGCTTTGGCGGGGTGCCCGTTGCGAGAGCTGGGGATGCAGCCCAGCTCGGGGCGGCTGTAGCGGCGCTGAGATGTCACCGTACCAGCCTCCAGCGGGGATGTCCTGTCACCAGAGACAAGCTGGGGCAGAGACGGGGAGTCCGTCTCTGAGAGGGGCTGCGGGGACTGGTACAGGTCTGCCGGGGAGGCCGAGTCCTGCAGGGGCTTCTGAGTGAAGGTGCCGGCTGCCCCGCTGGGGCTGAAGGTCAGTGTGGTGCTGCTTTGGAGAGAGGAGCTGCTGTGCTCTGACTCATTGGAAGAGTGGCTGCCCACAGAGACGTCCGACTGGCTGCGGCGCGGGTTGTAGGGCTTCAGAAAGGAGCTGTACACAAAGCCCTTGGTCACTGCAGAGAGGGAGAGGAAGGGAACTCAGCTCGGGGTACAGGGGGACCAGAGGAGGGGACTCACAGCAGGTGCCAAGGGCAGGGAGCAGCCACCTACCCCCATTGTCTATGAGCCAGCGATTCTGGCTGCCCATGGGGTCCTTCTTCTTGATGACACCCACGATGTCTCCTTCCAGCAGCGAGACATCCAGGTCTTGGGCAGCATTGAAATTGCGGTCTGCCTGGAAGAGACTGTCTGGGGGATAGCGGGCCAGAAGGGCAGCTCGGATGTCATCTGACTGCAGGAGGTAGCTAGGCTGCAGAGGAACAAGGCAGGCGTGAGTGGCTGTCCTGGGCCCTGCAAGCCCTGACACAGGGTAGAGGGAACTCACCAAGCCAACAAGGGGCTGCCGCCGGGCAGACTGCCGCTCCATACTCTTCCTTTCAAAAGGCTTCTTGGGAGCTGCCTGGGACTCTGGGAAGAAGGTGAAGGCCTGGAGCTGCTGGAGGACTCTACTGTGCTCATCCTGGAAGATGGCAATGAGGTTTCCCTCCCTGCCGGACACCTTCAGCAACTGGAACCAGAGGAGGGTTGGGGGTCATGGTTAGGTGACAGCTGCTGGGAAAAATGGCCAAGAGCTACAGCAGAGACCATGCCAACTCCTGGGCCAAGCGGGGCTCTGAGTCCTGCCTGTGACTTGCATCAGGCCCAGATTTGCAGCCCTTTCTGGACCCAGCTCTGAGCAGTCCCCAAACTCATGACCCAAGATTCTCCCAGGCAAATGCTCTCCTGCCACTGCTCCAGGAGCAGCCAGAGCCTTCACCATCTCTATGCACAATTGCATCGTGACCCTGCAATCCCTGCCCTTACAGCATCCCACAGGAGCCCTCCCCAAGGCACTCGGGACCTGAAACTGCAGCAGCTTCCCTGCAATGGGACAGGTCCCAGAGAGGCTCAGGGACAAGTCCTGCGCAGAGATTAGCGCTGCACTGAGCCCAGAGCACTGGCTGTGCTCTGGAAACCCACCGACAACAGGGGTCTCAGCTCCTCCAGGGCCAGGCGCACAAAGTCACAGTGTGCCTCGGCGTAGCCCCGCACGCAGCTGGCAAACAGCTCCTTGGCGAAGCGCAGGAACTTGGGCAGCTCATCCAGCAGCTGGGCGTTGAGTGCTTCGTAGTTGTTGCGGGCTGACTGCAGCTCCTCCAGCGTTCGCTTGTCCTTCAGTTTCTCCGCTCGCTCCGTGCAGTTGTGGAAGTCGAGGAGCTTGTCGAAGCGTTTCTGCACCAGCTTGTGGGGCCCCGCAAACATGCTCAGCAGCTGGTTCAGGGGCGAGCTCACCAACCGCTCCGTCCGCTCTTTCTGGTGGGCAGAGATGCAGAGAGCAGGTGAGACGAGGTGCTCTCTCCCACTGTGCAGTGAACACCAGCAGCTCACCCTCCAGCACACATCCTCCCCAGAACAGCATAGGGTCCATCTTCCTGATGGCACCCACCAGAGGTCCAGACGTCCCTTCCAACATGAATTATTCTATAATCTTACAAAAATGTGCCAGTGTGGGCAATGCTAGAGAAGTACCTGAACCACTCGCATACAGAGCTGTAACATTTCAGGTAGGGCTGAAAAAAATGTGTATTTAATAGGCACACTCAATACACATCATAAACCAACAGGCATCAAAGCTCTCAGGAGGGGGGAGAAGAACAGGAGTGCTCACACCTCTCCCAGGCTGCATTACCCTCCCTGCAGCCTCTGGGCTGCCCATCTGCAGCAGGCCTCTGGGGGGGGCCCAGAGGGGTGTACAAGAGCACGGCCTCACTCACGAAGTTGGAGAAGAGCTGGTCGCTGATGAGCCGGTTCACTTTCTGGAACTGGTCCAAGTCCCCACTGCCCTTCTCTGTGCACAGGTCCCACATGCTCACTGCTGCCAGTGCCTTCATGCAAGCCGACTCCTGCACCAGGGACACACAGTTGGCACAGCCATGCTTGCTGCCCAGGAGGACAGACCTTCCAGGGCAGCCCAGACCCTCAGAGACCACCCCCCACTGGCCAGGCTGAGGGCAGGAGCACTGGCCAGAGGCACTGCAGGTACACACCGTGCAGGCAGTGCACGGTGAGCCTCATGGGTTAGGCATCACACCCGGACTGACTCACC